AACAACAACAACAACAACAGCAATCCTCTTATTGGAGTCCTGGTGTGGCACTGTGGGCTAATGCATCAGACTGCAAAGTCATTTGAACTGCAAGGTCAGTTCAAACTGGTTCAAGCTCACCTGTTGCTCCTTGGAAACCCTAGGAAACAGGGTCACTATGGGTCATAATCGACTCGACAGCACTTCACAACACAATCCTCTTACTGGTTTATCACATCAGATCACATCATTGGCATAGCTACATCTCAACTGTCAAACCACTGGGAATCCTGGCCCAGTCTAGTTGACACAAAATCTTAGTTATAATACTGTTCATGTAACTGGAGCCCTAGCACATTTATACGAGCAAGTACAGCATATACAACAGAACTACGCTCACATATGTAATCCTGCAAGTATACACACTGGACAGCATAGAGCTGCCATAGGGTAAATGACTAGACGCTGAAGACAAAAAGTACCTCTCATTCTAGGGATGACTTTTCCTGTTACGGTGTAATGGCTCACTTTTATATGACCTTCCAAGCTATGGTCCTATAATACCCACCAAATGTGGGTGGGATTATGCAAATAAGATGTTTGTAGCCCACCAAGAAGTTTGGACAGTTAACTAATAATGCAAATAAGATACACAGAACCCTACTAGTAGTGGTGGTGTTGCAAATCTATTGTTTTATTTCTTGACTGCTGCGTCCTTCAGTGTTGATGGTTGATCCAATCAAAATGAAATATTTGACAACTTCCATCTTTTCTTCATTGATATGAATGTTGTTTATTGATCCAGTCACGGAGCTTTTTGTTTTCTTTACATTGAAGTACAACCCATACCAAAGGCTTTGATGTTCATCTTCGATGTTCATCAATATTTTAAGTCCTCTTTGTTTTCAGCGAGCAAGGTTGTATCATCTGTATATTGCAGGTTGTTAATGAGACTTCCTCCTATTCTGATACCACATCTTTCTTCATTTAATCCAGCTTCTCATATTATTTGTTTGGCATACAGATTGAATAAGTATAGTGAAGGAATACAATCCTGGCATGCACCTTTCCTCATTTTAAACCATTCAGTGTCCCCTTGTTCTATTTGAATGCCTGACACTTGGTCTGTGTACAGATTTCTCATGATCACAATTAAGTGCTCCAGAATACTCATTTGGTGTGATGTTATCCATAGCTTGTCACGATCTGTGCAGTCGAAAGCCTTTGGTAGTCAATAAAGCACAGGAAAACATCTTTCTGATGTTTTCAGTCAAGCGGACATTAGCAATGATATCCCTCGTTCCATGTCCTCATCTGAATCTGACTTGAATTTCTGGCAGCTTCCTGTCAATGTACTGTTACAGCCATTTTTGTATTATCTTTAGCAAAATTTTACTTGCAATGTAATATTAAAAATATAGTCCAATGATTTCCACATTCCATTCGGTCACCCCTCTTTGGAATGGTCATATATATGGATCTCTTCCAATCCGTCGGCCAGGTAGCTGTCTTCCAAGTAGTCTACCGGTATGGAACCACACAAATGAGGTGTAGAGATCTCATGAGAGGACTGATCAGTTTTGACATCCTGCAAGGGGAAAAATGAGCCATTCTAGAGATGGACAGTTGAGACCTCCATGAAGTAAGAAGAGCCAGGAGTGGAACACATATTTTGGATTTGGGGTCCCTGCACTGGGAACCTCCTGGACCCAAAAGACATAGACCTGTAACACCAGAGACATTGCAAGACAGTGAGAAATGGTGGCATTCTTTGGTATTAGCAGAAGCAGCAGAAATACAAGACTGGTGCAAGATGGTTCACTGGCTTCCTGGCCCACAGAGCCAGAAAACAGAGTGCCTTTAAGCACAAGACATGCTGGTGGAATTGGGAGTACCTCTGCGCACTTATCAATGGAGCAAAAGAGCTTTGTAACACTTGTCAGAGGAGAGTGCAGGCTGAGCCAGCCTAAGATGACCTAGAGACTGAGGGACAGGGAGAGACCTGTTTGCTAGCATGGCTCAGAAGAAGCTGTCCTGACCCAAGAACTTGAGTCTTTCCTGATCCTGAATTGTAACCTATTACATCCCTAATAAAACAATAATCATGATTGTGGTCTGTGAATTCTGTGTCTCCATTGTCATGAATTACTGAAACTAGTAGAAGAGTTGAGAGTGCCATGCAAAGGACAGTTGGTATCAAAATTGGCAAAAAGGTTGGAGACAGAATGCATGCCCGACCTCCACTTCATAGGAATCAGCCATGATACTGATGCTCTCTTCCCCTTGTGAAGTCAGGTGCCTCCCTGACTCCATGAGTCCTGGTGTGGCGCTGCAGGTTAATGCACTGGACTGGGAGGTAAGTGGTTCAAGTTCACCAGCTGCTCCTTGGAAACTCCATACAGGGTCGCTATGAGTCGGAACCAACTTGATGGTACTCAACAACAACAACAACAGACATGATAACTCATGGTTGCCAGAACCTGTTTCAAACCTTTTCAAGAAAAGACAGCTTGCCTCGGAGGCAAGTATTTTCATTTATGAAAGCAACCAATTAGCAGTCTGAGTGATTACAGTTTTTACAACCCTATCTCTGCAAGTCCACCAACCTCTAAACACCATTCTTCCCCCAATCTCAAGGTAAGATCAGGAGTCTGTCTACTTAAAGAAGCTATGCCAGATGTACAGAGCTCTTCTTTACCTAAGTAAGCAATACATTTAGCTTTGTGCCTTTGGGATATCAAAAGGCGGCCTCATCCTTACGCATTACCTTTTCACTAGGCACACAACGTCCATTGGGGGAAGGCATGCTCACCTGTGCATTGACCAATTGGATGAGCTTGTCAAGGTTCTTGAACCAACTTTCAGCTTGCTTATAATGGAAGTCTGAACCCATTGTCATTATGATGTGGTTGCTGTTGTAGTGGTGGGCCTGAAGACAGAATGGTGGGGTCTTCTTAGACCAGGTGCCATGAAACCTTGTCCCTGTGTACAGCTTTGTCGTGAGTTGTCAAGATTGTAGACACACATTCATGCATGTGTTTATTTGTAGCTTAAGAATATATTTATAATCACCATAAAGATTTATTGTGCAGTTACTTTGGGTGCACCCAATAATAAGTATGATGCCTTGATGTTTCCTTAAACAGGGTGTAAGTGTGCACCTGGGAAGGATGCAGATAACGTCTGAGCAGAAGGCACAGGTCTGGGATCTGGAGTAAGCCTGTCTGGGCTCATATGTCTCTCTGCCATTCACCCGCTGTGTGACTGTGAGCTAGTGGACACATTCACCTTGTATTCACCTCTCTAGCGGTCAATTTCTTTGACTTTAATTGGGATTAAAATGTTGTGATGGGAATCTAGGGGGTGACTGTGCCATGGTAAAGTCCACTGAATGTTTTCTACATGAGACCCAGAGGCTGTATTCAGTGGTACCTGGTTAGGGCCAGGTCCTGGTCAATGGTACCTGATTAGCAGCCACTTCCAGGAAGTATTTCACCAGTTTGTTGGCATTGTGAATAGGTCTGTGAGGTTTCTTTACCACGGGTAGGTCATCACACTGTATGCTATCCCAGCATAATCCAGGTGGTGGGTTGTAGTTGTTGGGGAGAACAACTGTGGGCCAGGCCATGGAGTAAGATGAGAAGTCTGTCATGGACCCCAGAAGCAGGTCACAAGATTGATTTTCCATCCCACTTACCTCTCCAGCACACTCACTTACTGGTGAAGAGGTCAGCAGTCGGGGGCTGGAGGCTTGAACTGCCCTTCCATACCAGCTCCATTTCACGTATGTTCTCTCGCATTGTCTTATCCTGGTAGTCTATACGTCCTAAGAAGATGCCATCGAAGCCCATCTGGGAGTAAGGAATAGGTTCAGAGCATAGTGGGTTGAGGGTTGAAATCCAGTTTCTCCCAGCAAGTTTGAGATGGTCCAGGTAAAGGCAAGAGCACCTTCTACTCCTAAATTACAAATTCACCCTGCTGGGGGTGAAAGTGGATAGACTCAGTACAAACAGGTAATAAAGCTAGTCCAAATATTGGACTCCTGGTGTGGTACTGTAGGATCAGCACAGGATCACCACAAGATTGGCATTCAAACCCATCAGCTGCTCCTCAGAAACCCTATACAGGGTCACTGTGAGCCAGAACTGACTCAATGGCACTTAACAACAACAAAAAATGTAGGTCAGGATTCCATCCATTTCTGGAGTATGATCAGAATTCTGAGTGGATGTGGATGAAAACAAATTGCTTTAGCCAGAATGAGTTATGGGCAGGGTCATGTTTGATCTGGAGAGGGGACAGAGCTTGAAATGGACAGTGAGGAGGTGGTCTTGAACAGTCTGAAGGTGAGCACTTCAGCAGGTTGGTCACAGAGTAGGGGGGGCAAGTGGTGAAGTCAAAATAAAGAGAGGGACCATGACTTGAGTAGGGTCAAGGATTAGGTATAGCTGCACCTGGGCAAAGAGTGAAGCCTGCTCTCGAGAGTGGCCAAAGGGATCTATGTGCCAGGCCACATGAGGGCGTCCATCCTCGCCGAATGTGTCATTCAGAAAGCGAAGCCCAAGTGTCATCTGATCCACAATAGCACCATAGTGTGTGGTCGCCTCATCGTTCATCACCCAACCACCGTTGGCAAATTCCAGACGCCCTGGCCAGGAGAGGCATGGTGAGGGGGCAGAGGTCACAGATTAGGGTCTACAAAGAGGCTGAATTGGGTGATGCTGGGAATGAAAGAACCCACCTGAATACCCAGACCTGGAGAGAAAGGTCAAATCTTTGACCAGTGGGGCCAGAGAATGGAGAGGATGGTAAAATTCTCCTGGGGAGGTTGAGGTAGAAGATGGGAAAGGGACTGACTTAAGAGAGTACTGAAGGAAAGGCCTTAAAGACTGCATAGACGTTCCCCAGGTAAAGGGAAATTCCAGACAGGCAGAGCAACACACGAGTACGCCTGCTCGGGGCATAAAAAGAGCAGAAGGGCTGTAGGAACGAAAGCTAGAAAGGACTCTCTTTTTACTACCTTGGGACAAGCTCACCCTGGTGCACCAGGTCCTGAACCACCTTCTGCATTTTCTTTGTCTGCTGCTGCCACCAGCGGGAGAAGAAAGCCATCTCCACATAGATGAAGCGGCGCGTGGGCTGGGCCTGTAGAGCTTTCACCACTGAGTTCAGGATGTGGAACACACACTCAGGAGAGGTCTCCGACTCGTCTGTGTGCATGGCAGTTGAACAGTAAAGGCACAGGTGAGAAGTGGTTACATAGAATAAGAGAGTCACAGCCTAGCCCCCTATATCTGGGATCAGGTAAGATTTTGTTGTTAAGTGCCATTGAGTTGGTTCCGACTCATAGCGACCTTGTATACGGTTTCCAAGGAGTGGCTGGTGAATTTGAACCACTGATCTTGTGGTTCAAACCAGCCTTTTGGTCCAGTGCTTTATCCTACAGTGTCACACAAGGACTCGTGTGATTAGGGGGCTTATATAAGGCATGGATATCTTGGGGTGGGGGGGCGGTGTAAGTCTTCTACAATATTAAGCCCAGATCTCTGCTCACCTTCACACAGATACTCGTCCACTGTCTTGAGCCAGCCCACGTCATTGTGTGTGTGGGCCACCAAGTGCACGTTGAGTATGTTTGGCTGCACCTTGGGGCATGTCTGCACAGAGACCCCAAACACATACATATAGCCTTTAGTACCCACCTCCCTCCCACCCTGCCTACAGCAGGCTGGATCCTTGATCAGATACTGACCCAGTGAGTCCATGACTCAAAGGTGGGATCACTTATGTTCTGACCTAGAGCATGTGCCAATGAGACTGGGCCCCCTCTCTGGTTGACACTCACAGTCAGACACACAACCACAGTCTCAGACCCATACAAGCAGAAATGCTACCATGCCCCTACATTGGATATGGAATCAGACAGTAATACCGAACCTCATTCTCAGATTACACAATGACACAAGACTATACAAGGAGACTACCAATAGTCAGATGAGAAGCACCTCAGTAGACACACACATGGACACACAAGGCACACAGAAAATAAACACATCACCATGTTCTTGGGACACACAAGTACACTCTGTAACATTTGCTTTGGTCCTTTATCAGCCTCTGCACAGAACAACTCTTGGACACTTTCCCGTGTAGGCACCTCACACCTGGTAGCCACTTGCACAAGTCTCAGGTGCAGCCAGCAGCATAAGAAGGAGTAGGAAGGAGGGGATATGAGGCCCTGGTACACGGGAGTTGGTCACAGGTTTGCAGGTTCCATCTGGATCCTGATCCCTATTGATCCTTGAGTCACAAGCTTCTGGACCCATAGCTCCCTTGCTAACCCTGTCACTTGCTCCTAGCTAGGATTATGACAGAACAAAGGCCTGGCTTCCGGGTCTCGTCTGCCAATCAGGACCTTCTGGGGAGAGGAAGGGGGCGGGGCCTAGAATTTTAAGAAGATGGAAGCAGAGACTAGTTGGAACGCAGCTCCCAAGCGCGACTTGGGTTTCCACTAGAATCTAGCGTGTCAGGGGACTGCAGCCAGCTCGCATGAGGTACTCGTTGTCACTGGCTACGATAAATGTGTTCCCTGGATCCCGATGAAGGTGGGGCAGGGACGCCTAGAGCCTAGAGGGTGAAGGTCCCTGAGATGGCAACAGTGTGCAAAAAAAATGGTGGATCTGAATCTTAGGGGAGGTGGCTAGAATCGTTGGTGTCGACCTTTGCATGGACCAATGCCTGAGTTCTAGAATCAGATGACCTGTCCTCAGTCCTGGAGTCTCCAATTAGGGCCAGATGTGGACAATCCCACTCACCACTACCCACATTCCATCTGTCAGCAGGAAGTTGGCTGATTCCAAATGCATCCAAAGTTCAGTTATTTCTCACAGCTCCAGACTTCTCACCTGGTCTATCATCTGGTCTCTTGACTGGCGTAATCTCTTGCTCCCTGGTCTCCTGATTTTCCTTCAGAGTTCCTTCTCTCACAGAAACTGGAGTTTATCTGTTAAAATCTAACTACACACAATCCCTATGTGGCTTCCATCTCACTGAGACAAAAAAAAAGTCCTTAGACAACTCTTCAAGCCCTGGTTCTAATCCCATCACTTTTCTGACCTCATCTTCTCTCAACCCCCTCCAAGTCCATCATTTTATGATTACTCATACTGCCCTGTTAGACTAATGACCCCCTAAAGTGGCATCCCCTGAAGTGAACTCCTGGTGTGGCGCTGTAGGATAAGCACTGAACTGTGAACCACAAAGTCAGCAGTAAAAACCCACCAGCTGTTCCTCAGAAACCCTATACAGGGTGGCTATGAGTCAGAACTGACTCCATGGCACTTAACAACAATGACAATAATAACAAAGTGACACTGCAGAATAATGTGCTTGACCACAAGGTTGCTTTGAACTATCTGCAAGGTTTGCAGTTCAAACTCACCAGCCACTCCTTGGAAACCCTATGCAGAGTTAGAACCAACTCAACAACAACAACCAATCTATCCACAAGGATCTCTGGTATTGTAGTAGGTTCTGGGTCAGGCTGCTAAATGCAAGGTCAGCAGTTCAAAATTACCAGCTGCTCAACAGGAGAAAGATGAGGCTTTCTGCTCCTGTAAAGATTTTCAGCCTTGGAAACCCTATATAGGGTCGCTATGAGACCAAACCAACTCCACGGTACTCCCCCTGGCCTCCCACCAAAGCTATCCACATCCTAATACCAAGAACCTGTGAATATTTTGTCTTACATGCAAAAGGAACTGTGCAGATGTGATGGAATTAAGGACATTGAGATGTGGAGATTATTTTGTATAATCTGGGTGCTGTTTTGTGCCGTGGAGTCGGTTCCGACTCATAGCCACCCTGTACAGGGTTTCCAAGGCTGTAAATCTTTATGGGAGCAGAAAGCCTCACCTTTCTCCTGCGGAACAGCTGGTAGTTTCGAACTGCTGACCGTGAGGTTCGCAGCCTGATTCGTTACCACTACGCTACGTGAGCCAAGTATAATCACATTAGTCCATATAAGAGAGAAGCAGGAGGACCAAAGGAGTAGGAGGAGTTGTGATGATGATGTACAAAGTTGAGGTAATTCAAGTTTTGTTGATGAAGTACAACGTTGTGGTAATTCCAGAAATATACCACAAACCAAGGAATGTGGGCACCTGCCATGGAAAAGCAAGGAAATAGATTTTCTTGTCAAAGCTCTGCCCCTTCCTTAATGTGCCAACTGCTTAGATTACTGTTTCCCTAGCTTTGTGCACGACTGGTTCCAATGTCACCTCTGCAAAGCAATCTCCCTTTGATTTCCTGTGTAAAGGGCCCATCCCCTTTCCTGCTTTGTTCCATTGCTTTGTTTTCTTTTATTTCTTTAAAGTGTAATTTTTATCACAATAAACAGAAAGTACTGCACTGAAGTGGTTGATTTAGTTATCTAGTGCTGCTCTAACAGAAATTCCATTAGTGGCTGGCTTGAAATTTAAGAAATTTATTTTTTCATAGTTCTTGAGTAAAAGTCCAAATCAGGGTCTTAGCTGTGCTAATTCCTTCTATAAGCCTCTTTTACTTTCTGAGCTGTGCTGAAGGTCCTTGTAGTTCCTTGTCATCTGTCATCTGCTGCCTGTGATTCTTCAAGTCTATTTTGGTCTATTATAACTCCCATATGGTATGGCCTCATTAACATAAAAGAAAAAATAATTGGAGATGAAGAATGAATCATGGATATGAAGCAAATCTAAAATCCAGCAAAGTGTATCTTATTACCTCTCAAGGATTAAATATAATCTGTCTAGGCAAGGAATCACCCCTGGGAGCCATCTTCACCTTCCAGGCCCACTGGGATAGCAGCCCTGCTCCCCAAGCTATGGGCTGCCCGATTACTTGGCCCCATCATTCATCTGCCAGTTTGGTGTATTGTGGTGGTTTGCATGCTGTGTTGTTGGAAGCTATGACACCAGTATTTCAAATATCAGCAGTGTTACCCATGGTGAAGAGACATAATAATCACAATGCCACTATGCCACCAGAGCTCCATGGTTTGAATGATGTACCTCCCAAATATGTTCTAAAGCTGAATTCCTCTACTTTTGGAAGGAGTTCAGGCAGCGCAGTGGTTAAACTCTCAACTCCTAGTCAAAATGTCAGTGGCTTGAACCCTTCAGTTGCTTCACAGGAGAAAGATGTGTCAGTCTGCTTGCATAAAGATTCTGTCTTATAGGGCTGCTGTGAGCCAGTATTGACTAATGCCAAGGCAATGCATTTTGGTATTTAATATGTGAGGAAATAAATTTCTGTTTGTTAAAGCCACCCACTTCTGGTATTTCTGTTATACCAGAACTAGACAATGTGGTAACTCTGCCTGGAAATCAGATTCACCTACTTCCAGAGTATGCTTGTTTTTTTGTTTTGTTTTTTTGTTTTGTTTTGTTTTTGGTTGTGGAAGGCTTCAATGATTCATTTATTTAAGGAATCCCCCAACTTCAAAGACTCTCTTCTTGGTCTAATGTGGACACTGAAGTCTCCGTTCCTTAGCTTTTTCAGGTAATGTTTTGACAAAGATTTACTTGAATGACAAGGAAAACAAACAACCTTTTCTGCAGAAACCAGATGTGCTGAGGTGCCCCTTCAACCCTTATCTCAGCTTGTACTGTAATGAGTTGGGAATAAACCTATGGCAAAAGGGTAGGGTGTTCTCAGAAATTTTCTGAACTTGAATCTTGAGCTGGGAATGAGTGTGTCCGTCTTAATCCTCCCGGTGCTTTAGAATATATTCACAAAGAAACACTCCACTTTTCCCAATCATTAGACTTCTGTTGTATGCCTCAATCTCATTCTTTCACCCCAGGGAGTTACAGAAGTTTACAGTTTGGGGACATTGTTGTTATTGTTAGCTATGTTCTAATCAACTCTGACTCATGGTGACCACACACACAAAGAAATGATATGAGGCTATTGAGAATATCATGGCTTGGATCAGGCTCACCTTAGTCCTCAAATTGCTTTTGAACACTTTAAAGAAGTCTTGTGAAGCAGATTTACCTAGTGCAATACATCCCTTGATTTCTTGGCTGCTGCTTGTATGAGTGTTGATTGTGGATACAAACACAATGAAGTCTTTAACAACTTCAATGTTTCCCCCATTTATCACCATGTGATTTACTGGTACAGTGAAGAGGATTTTTGTTTTCTTTAAATTGAGGTACACACGACCCATATTGAAGACCATAGTCTTTTATCTTCATCATCAGTAAGTCTTTTGAGTCCTCTTTGCTTCCAGCAAGCAAAGTTGTGTCATCTGCAGACCAGAGGCTGTTAATAAGTCTTCCTCCAATTTTGATGCCTTGTTATTCCTCATATAATCCAGATTCTCAGATGATTTGCTCAGCATACAGACTGAATAAGTATGGTGAAAGAATACAACCCTGGCACACACCTTTCCTGAATTTAAACCATTCAGTGTCCCTTTGTTCTGTTCAAATAACTGCCTCTTGGTGTGTGTACAGGTTCCTCATGAGCACGGCTGGGCATTCTGGAATAACCATTCTTTGAAATATTATCCATAGCGTGTTGTGACCCACACAGGTGAAAGCCTTTGTATAGTCAATAAAGCACAAGTAAATATCTTTCTGGTGTTATCTGCTTTCAGCCAAGATCCATTTGATGTCAGTAATGACGTTGCATGTCTTGAGTTCTGAGTCCAGCTTGAATTTCTGACAGTTCTCTGTTGATGTACTGTTGCAGCCAGTTTTGAGTTATCTTCAGCAAAATTTTACTTGTATGTGATGATGACACTGATTATTTCCATATTCCTTTGGAGTACCTCTCTTTGGAATAAGCATAATTATGGATCTCTTCCAACCGGTTGGAAAGGCAGCTGTCTTCCAAATGGATTGGCATAGATGAGTGAGTGCCTCCAGCGCTGCATCAGTTTGGTGAAAAATTTAAATTTGTATTCCAACAATTTCTGGATCCTGGTTTATTGTCATTGCCTCAGTACAATCAGTTCTTGATCATATGCTACCTCTTGAAATGGGTGAACATTGACCATTTCTTTTTGGTACAGTGACTTTGTGAATAACTTCCATTTTCTTTTGATGCTTTGGGGACCAATCACAAATATTGCCCATAGAATCTTTCAATATTGAAAATCGAAGCTTGAAGTGTTTTTCAGTTTTTTCAGTCTGAGAAATGCTGAGCGTGTTCTTCCCTTTTGGTTTTCTAATGCATATGCACCTTTCTGTTGTTGAAAAATGCATTTGCAATGGATAAGTTGTTGGTCTTGCAAAATTTGATTATGCCGTCTCCAGCATCATTTCTATCACCAATGTTT